TGTAATAGCTTAGCTTATCCTTATCATATTCTGCATGTAAAATAATTTTCTGGCACACGCCCCCCGTGGAAATCAGCTACGGTTGACGGGGTCAGCGTGGATAAATAAAGTTCTACTACTACTACTACTACTACTACTACTGCCTGTAGAAACATACATATCTTCAGTGGCGGAAATTAGGGGGAGGGGGGGCGACCCCCCCCCCCAATAATTTTAGCTAGCTTTTATTTTGAAAAATGTAGCATGGGGGCCATACTCTATACCTGGCCAATAAGGAGCTCCCGTAGCCGGATGACGTCAGAAATGACGCGTATAGGTGCACTTTTACCTTTAGAATCGATTTCTGGCATTTCCACAGTCATACGATAGAAACGTCACATTGTTTTGACGTTTTGAAATTGTATTTCCGGTTGGGATTAGCTCACAGTCGAACCAGAAATGGAAATACCGTGATAAAGTGCAAATTTGAAGATATAGGCTCACAAATGACACTCTAAATAGTGTTTTTGATAGTGGTTCGAACAAGACTATTACAAAGAAGATACGTCTGAAGGGGCTGAAGTTATGTTCGGGGAAATGTATCGCTAGTCTATATTATTACGATCTCGCGGAATTAGTTGAGTGAGGAATTAATTGATTTGATATTGTTTCACTGAATAAGTTTTCTGTCCCACTATACTTTTCGGTCGGGTCAAAGTAGATGCTAGAAGGCCAGAAGCTCAATAGGAACGTTGAATCCTAATCAAGTTTCAGATCGAATCGGAAAAATCCATATGTTGAGGTCGACTTATCAGATTCGAATCTATTTAAGATTTTGTCAAATGAAACTGAAAATAAATAAAAAAATAAAATTTAATCATTAATTTTGTTCAATCTTAAGGAGGCGTTTATAAACATTCCAACGCGTCATTTTTATTCTCCCTACGCAACAAAGACAACCTTGCTCCATTTATTGCCAACATCAAGCAAGGTCAGGAGCAGTATGCAACTTACTGTCACCTTGGGTGCGGACCAATCTTTGCTGGAGGAGCTGATCTGCATATTTGTAACCAACCTCAAGTCAAACATTCATACAGCAATTTTGGATACACATATCAACTTCCCCCTGGTTATGTCGGTAACAGTGAACAAGCAAAGAACCTTCTTGCTGGTCAGTACAAATTCTTAACGACAGAAATCGAAGTCTTCAACTGAAAATTGCCTTTGTTTACTTACTTAAACGAAAAATATCATTACATTGATTACGAGCGGTCTTAGCAATCAATTTTGGACAGTGATTTTGCGATGTTATAAAGTATCAAGAATTAATGTGAATATTCTGAGTCATGTACTGTAGGAATTTTAAAACATTTAAATTGGTCGTTTGCCTCAACAGTAGCAGTTACTGGAGTCAACAAATGAAAGGCCTCGAAGAAAACTTGTGAAAAACCGATTGTTATACAGCCGACGGTAGTCAATTATCTAATCAGCATATAGCCTAGGTAAATGTTCGGAAATTGGAAGAACATTTCATTTTCGATCGACCACTTTAAATCGGTTTGCATCTGACCATTTTTCATGACAATGACATAAGAACGGTGTCATTTTGCAGCTAAAAACCTATCTTTATTAGTGTGCGTAAAGTAAATCTATAAACTTAGTATCTATATAACGCACGATAACCTGCCGAAAATGTTTTAGCTTTTTTGATACACCCTGCACTATACATGTTGAAGGGTTCCATCTACAAAGAACCATTCAAAATTTAGTATCAACTGAGATGCCTGAAATCCTGATATTTCCTCATATACCTTACATTGTCATCACGTAGTATGTACTGTATACATAAACTTGTGGTTAAAACTCGACTTGGATTATGTAGCTCAATTGGTTAGAGCGCTGCACCGGCATCGCAGGGCCGCAGGTTCGATTCTTGCCAGAGAGCCTATATACACTGTAGTTGCATTTTTTGTAGCTGCTCCTGGTTTGGATGTAAGTTCGTATTAATGTGAACATAGTAGCATCACCCCACCTCCATGTAAATATGCATTCTTAATTGGATGGCAGCCAATATATCACATTACAAATTTAAATGCTCAAGCGTTAATGTTAACCCATTATACAAATCTCGTTCCCCGAGCCTGCGATCCTCGGGAAGGAACGCGAGGCTCTGGGATAATCCGTTTCAGGGAGGAATCTGATTGGCCGTTGAAATAGATGCGTAGTTCAATCTTAACCAGAATTCCTGGCTTCCGGCAACGGATTATCCCAGAGCCTCGCGTTCCTTCCCGAGGATCGCAGGCTCAGGGAACGAGATTGCCCATGTTAATGCGCAAGATCTGACGAGTAAAATCGTCTGGCGTTAGACTGGGCAAAATAATAAAGTTGGTTCCAGTTGGGCGGATTGCAGCTTAATGGGTTAATAAATAAAAACCGAAAATGAGATCATCTTAGAAACCGATAATATTCACTATACTGTAGACCCTTTGTACTGACGTCACAAATCCTTAGAGTGTCCTCCAGATGCTCCCTAACAATATCTGCTCGGGTACAACAACCACATACAGCGCAAAAATTAACCATTGTAATACAAAATTATCATAAAGTTTTACAAAATTTGCGTTGTTTACAAAAGTTATATTATGCATGGATTGCTAATTTGTCCTCCAGATGCATCTTCACCGGCGCTGTGACGTCATGTGCAATGATGATGATAATGATAAACTTTATTTAAAAATCACACGCTAGCCTCGTCAACTTTCGCTGATTTCCACGAGGGGCGTGTCAATTGCATTATAAATAGTAGTAGCAAACATTAAAAATGAACATATTTACAATAGTCAACCCAATATTATACCATAATAATTATATTTACATTATATTATGAGAAATTGTGAGCACTAATTCGACTTTTAAAAATTGGCAAGGTAGCCGAATCACGCAAATCGTCAGGTAAGGAATTCCACAATTTCGCCCCATCGTAAGAAAAACTTTTCTTAATATGAAAAGTCCTGGGAAAAGGGATTTGCAGTGATGTAGAGGAACCCCTTAGCTCGTAATCTGTGACATCACTTTTACGCATAAAAAGATTAACAAGTGCATTTGAGGCCAATCATTTAAAACTTTGTACATTTGTACTGCTTGCTCGTTGAGACTCAAGAGTTTCCCACCCTAAGGCAGTAATTGCTTCTAATCCAGGGGTATCATTTGTCATACCCATTACTATTCTCGCCGTTCTATTCTGCAGCTTTTGAAGTCGAGTTGAAAGGCTAATGCACAAGGTATCCCATACCTCACTGCAATAATCGAAATGAGGGCGAACTAAAGCATTGTAGATAGAGATCAAGGTTTCCCTATCGACAAAGTCACGTATTCTTCCTAAAGCTCCTACACCGGAAGTAACCTTCTTGGCCACGCTTTCAACATGCTTGTTCCAAGACAATTTTTCATCAATTTGAACCCCA